TCAATAAACATCTTCAGTAATAAATATAAATAAAAAGCCTCATTCGACGGGTTAAATATCTAAATTATAGATATAATTTTATTATTTTTATTGATAGCTTCATCTAGACCAAAATTTCATTAGTAATTTTTTAGCAAGAGAAGTAGGGATTCACTAGTATCATAAAGTTTCATCAATTCAGTTTTTTTTTTTTTTTTAGCGGGAGCACCAAGGGGATTTTTTTTAGCATTAAGGTTTCGTCAGCAGAATTTGAGGTTTCGCCTTTCGTCAGAGGTTTCGTCATGTTGGGGCTTTAGGTTTCGTCTTTCGTCACCAAGCAAAAAAGGTTTCGTCTAACAACTATACTTGTGCCAAACCTTGTTTTAGGTTCTCTGCCTTTACTTCAACCAAGCTAATAATTCTGCCAGTTAACCGACATTCAATAACGTAATCAAGATTACCGTGTCCGTTCCGACCTGTAATAGGTTTTTCAGGAACAATTTTAAAATAGCTTCCATAAAATGAAACACCAGATGCTAGGTAACTATATGAATAAATTGATTTGGTTGGTTCGAATGCCATGGCCAGAGATGTCGTCTCTTGGCAAAGTTTCATTATATATTGTTTGGACATAATATTTGTTGTCCATGGACAGTGCATGTCCATGTCCATTGACAACACTGCCTCAGATAATGAAGATGCGAAGGGGCTTGTCCAAAACGATTCCATGACAGTGTAAGGATTGGTATTAACTATTTTTTTCCATTCATATGGAGCAAATGTAGAATATGGGCATGGTTTAGTTAATATGATTATTGATGCAAGTGCTCTAAATATAAATATAGAAAGATTATTAGTACATTTTCAATAAATATATAGTGAAACTATAAATATTTTAATATACTTACAAAGTTTCGTATTTATCATTCCATGTTATTTTTACCCTCCCATTTATTACATTTTCTATTAATTGTATTTGAAATTCTTTGAACTTTTTTGACACATTAATTTCGCGCTATAATCCACTAAAACAAAATTACAAAGTTATAATTATTCTGTTATACATATGAAATTATCGAAAATCAAAAATTCAGTTTATTGTGTACCTCATTTCTTGACTGAGATTCTAGGCGCTTTTTTAATCTCTTTAATTTTCTGGTAATTGCTTCACTCTCGCTTTCATCATTCTCGTCGTCATCCGGTAGCTTCGGGAAGGAACTGGAAGATTCATTTTTCATCTAAATCAAAAAGGTTAATAATCATTAAATTTCACAGTAACTAAAATAACGTAGGTATTACTCACCCTCTTTGATTTCTCCTCGTAATCTGAATCTGTTTCTTCTCCCGATGAGCTTTCGACATAATTTATTGAATGGTTTCTTTTTCTGAGCCTGGAAGGAGGTTCTTTAACACCCGATTGCTCGTGAATTTTATAAGGTTGTTTATGCACCTGAATAATATTACCAGTACCAGCAAATTGTACTCCATCGCAGGATAAATTACAAGATAAAAATATATTTTCTGCGTTTAGTTTTTCATTCTCTCTAGGATTATTGCTCTTCAGAACAGGTAAAGATCTCGACCAAAAATTATCGATACGCCCCATCTTCCTAGATTCAAGCTTGCAAAAATAAATTTTGTATATTAGTGTATCAAGGTTGTCAAAAAACGAAAATTAGCAGGTAATAGAATTGTCACAAGCTGGCTACAGCGGAGACGTAGTCCATAACCATGCAAAGACGTAGTTCCATGGGTAGCTGTAGCCAACAGCGGAGACGTGGTCCTTAACCATGCAAAGACGTGGTTCCATGGGTAGCTGTAGTAGCGGAGACGTAGTCCGTAACCATGCGAAGACGTAGTTCCATGGGTAGCTACTGAATGTGACCTGCTAATCTGCAGTTATTATAGCCCAAGAAAGTATATACTGACCTTGAATTGATTTTCGAGACGTATCGCGTTTTTCCTTTCATCTTTCTTTTATATTCTGTATTTGTTTGCAAAAACTCCTTGTTACAACTGCCTTATCTAGACCCAAATTACTATCTTCCACGCTTCATGGTATTGAATTGCATCCCAGTCTTGACAGTGAGTGTTCAAGAAATATTCGAAACCAGGTCCGGGCTCGCTGATGTCAGATAACATAGTTTATCAAATTAACGCATAATTTCTTAGCACAAGTTGCACCCTGTCTTACAAGCAAATTATACATAATGATAAGCCTCATGAGGAATTTCTAAATTTATTTTGTACGTACGTACGTACGTACATGTTTTTTGTCAATCTTGTTATTTTAGTTTAAGAAGAAATCGTTTGCAATTTGTGCAAGAGTAATTTCTTTTTTAATTAATTAATCACGTTAATATATTAGATATGTGAATTGAATCTATCAAATAAGTCCATCCAATCAAATTAATTTTGTATTGTTATAATACGTAATTCAATTCAGGATCCAAATGTATTGTGTTTTCATGTGATTTAAGGACTGAGTCCTTACCATCCTTGTAAGGACCGGTTAGGATTCGGTCCCAAATACAAAAGACCGATAACATCCCTATATGTAGAGGATAAGATTGAAATTACGAAAATATAATAAAAATATTCCGTGTATTGGCAATTCGCCTAAGAAGGACAGCATTCCATATGCGCAAATTACTATTAAATTTATTATAATTATGAAATCTTTTTTCTCTTCATAGCTAACTATTTTTTTTACATGCAGAGAAAACCTTTTCAATTATAGTAAATTGCAAGAAGATATTTATATTTAATTTTTTTATTACTATATAAAATTTTCTTAATAAATGAGGATAAAAAAGTTTCATGATTATATAAAACATACTGTAGTAACTATTTTAATATCATTAATTGTATCTTCCTTAACACACTTATCATTTTGCTGCATTGATTTTTCTTTTCGTTTTTCTAACCAAGTTAAGAATAAACCCTTTCTATATTGATATTGGTAAGTGGTCCATAATTTTAAAATTTTATAAACTCTCTTACTTAAAATCGCTAATATGGTAAACAAATAAATTGGATACGTTATAAACCACGCAAATATAAGAGACCATGATAATATAATACGAAGTTTATGGAAAGTACACCAATCATTTAACCATGAATCCAAAACTTCGATGAAATTATTTGATGATCAGGTCCAACAATTTGATCTTTTAAATATGGAAATGAAAGTAGCATACCAATGAAAGCCCCAAATCTATGATAAAGAGACAGTAGTTAGTTTGACATAGATATTAAATTTTTTGAATTTCATAAAATAATAGTTGTAATTACATATTATATATAAATGCACATATCGCACAACCCATTCCATTCTTCCTGATTTTATGCAACAAGGAACCATGATTATAACACACAAACAATAAGTCAAATAAAAGAAATAAAATATTGTAAAAGCTACACTAGCATTTGACAAATTACTATAAGATATTTAATACTAATTAGTATTGAATTTAGACAAGAAAATATAAGAAAGAAAATTCATACGAGTCGTAGCCATATTTTCCATATAGATATGTATTGTTTTTAAGATCATTTTGTTTATTTAATATACCATCTGCTATATAATCTACATATGTATAAAATTAAAATCAAAATTTTAGATTAATTCAATTGATTATCTCTTAAACTCCCTGCTATTCATCGTGAAATAAATTTGTTTGACAGTTTAAAGGATAAAAAGATATGTATCATGCCAAAGCTAATAAAAATCACGAAAATCACAAATACAAGTGCGTAGTTAATTAATAGCATCCATCGATAAAATTCTACTGGTATTATTTGAACATATTCATCATAAAAGGATATTTTTCTTGATTGACGTGGAATCATTTTTAATATTATTAACGAAAAGGATGTTTGATAATAAACTACGGGACTTGAGAAAAGTATTGATATTTATATGTTCTGTACTAGGTGTGGCACGTGTGATGCGCTCATTCTTTAACCTTCCATTTAAATCCTTACTATTACTGTATCTAGATAATTATATGAACCAAAATGTTATCGTTATATAATAAAAAAAGAACTTTTTCGGAAAGTGAAGAGGCTTCCTCTATTCTGATCTTAATTATTAAAATTTTTGATTCCAATCAGAAAGGTTGCTTTGATTCGGTAATATACGGCAATAAAATTTAGCATTTAAGATTTTTTTGAATATAAAAAGTATTTTTAATTACAAATTATTTCGAATATTTTGTTAGTTTTTCCATTTCTTTCGCTTTAAACCTTTGAAAGACAACTATGTGATAGCTTTTTACAAAATTCTTCAAGTTAACACGAAATTCTAAGCTTTAAATATTAGATTTCTAATACCTTTAAATTAATTAAATTTGGGGTTATTGAAGAATAGGATTTTCAGTTAGATAAACATAACTAGATATACTATTGAAGATTTTTATTGAACGCGCGTTACCCAACAAAACTTAACCAGACTAATAATACTTCGAAAT